AGCAGGAGGCCAGAGCGATCCTATCTGGGGTGATGGACGATATCCGCGCTGATACAGAGAGGTTGCACGGTCCAATTCGCGAGACGCAGGTGACGCTGTGGATAGGTGGGGCTTTTGCCTTTCCCTCGGTGGGACTGCGAATGAGACTTCCCTTGTTTGTAGTGGAGCAGCTTTGGGGCTTGGGGTGCGTCGTGGAGAGATATTTCGCGGCTCTAGAGCTCGACGGACTAGCTAGAGGGCAGACGGACCGGGACCGGATTGCCTACGCACAGTTCGTAGGTGGACCTCTCACTGGAGAGAGGGGGATACAGCTCATTGAGTTCTTACGTATTCTAGCGCCTACAGTGGACCCCCACTCTTCTTTCTCGAGCCAGCCCTTGGAGTTCTGGTTGGCACTAGATAGGGAGGTCCAGAGACCAGTGGATAGTTTGGAGGGGGGTCGGACGACTCTTTAGCGGGACTCCGGGTGATAGGCCTGCTTCCCTCATCTCTATCTGGGAGTTGGAGGAGCATTACCAGGGGATATATTCAGAGAGAGGAGCTCGGTTGGGACGCAGACGATCGAGATTGGGAACGCCTCAGCGACGCAGAGCCTTGGGGGGAGGACGTGAGATCGTGGGGAGACGTGCCTGAAGCAGGGCAGGGCGAGATTGGCGCCGATATAGACGGACCACAGGAGGACGGCTGGGGACATCTCCTTCAGGCCGAGGGACAAGAGGATATCCCATGGGGTCAGGGGGTAGATGAGGATGGAGATGAGGGTATGCCAGATGCGCGAGACGATTAGTGGCAGGGCATATCCGGGCGTAGCTTGGAGAAGGGAGTAGGAGATCGGTTAGTAGGCACGGGGATAAAACTTTAGGCAAGACGAGAGTGGCAGTAAGAGTAGGAAGGGATGGCAGACAGGGATACACTGAGAGTGACTCTTTCATTACGACGAGATAAGACGGGCGGCTGGGAAGAAGAGGTGTTGGACAATGTTGCGCGACAGATCAGACTCATGACGGAGCATGCCCTAGAGATACGGAGAGGCCAGAGATACGTCGAGTTTACTATCTACTTCCATAGAGCTGACGGGAGAGTGCACAACACCTACTCGACCATACTGAACCTGAGTGGGAGAGTTGTCTGAGGAGTTAGCAACATCGGGAGATAGGGTGCGTCGAAGGCAGTAGGGTGATACAGATCGAGTGGTGAAGTGGAGATGAGGAGTGACTCGGCGGCTTGGCTAGCTTATGTTCTCTCACGAGAGTCCGAATCCTATAGCGTGATGAAACTTGTAAGACCCAGAGAGACGGTTGTTGGATATGATATTCCTCTTCCTGTGAGGCTGGAGGAGACAGACTGTGTTCCGATACGTTACCTTGGAACTCGGCTGGCAGAGGGACTTTTCCTTTGGACGGTGATACTAAAAGATAGACGACCCGATAGAACTCATGACCTATAAGGGGTGGGACATCTGATAACGGACAGAGCTCATGATTTAGACATAGGACTGACACTCGCAGGGGCCAGCAGGGCTTGGTGGAGAAACGAGTTGTTGGCCAAAGTGATCGTTAATCAGCAACTGGCGAGACTCTCTGGAGGAAGGTCGTACTGGAGTCGCTTGTTATACGGACCTCCGCATCCGACCTTCTACCCGAGAGAAGGTTGGAGATTTGGACTTCCTGCGTTCGTAATAGGGCAGACCTACGGGAGCGTAGACCGTCTGAATGTAGCAGTGGACCACACACTTTACGCGCTTTGGGAGGGCTTAGCTCCCCGTTTCAGGGAAGAGTACTACGCCATTTGTCTAAGGTGGGGGTCACCCAGCAGAGAGACGCTTGACGACATCATAGACGTTACTTGTTGGGTGGACTGTTTGAGGTCAGTCGATCTGATTAGGTACTGCAGGAGACGAGCGGAGATTGATTATGTGGGCCTGGAGGATGTGAGATTTCTCTTCGAGGTCGCAGCTTAGGGAATGTTGGGGAGAACGACAACTGTGGTGCGCTTAGATAAGCAACTGGTAAGCACGGGGTACACTGTGACGGTGATTCTCCGGGCATACATAGATGAGGACTTGACGGAGAGGGAGTGCCGACTACGAGCCAGGGAGCTGATCCGCGAGCATAGAGCTAATGTACTGGTGCAGGTGACCTTCCAGACCTCGATTTCCTATGATGTGATGATATGGTCTCATGGTTATATGCGCGCGGAGCACTACCACGATGAGACGGTAGCGGAGGCTAGAGCAAGGGTATGAGGATGAGCTGGAAAGTGATGTTGACGGAGTATGGAAGAGGAGAGTAAGGCGGTCGGAAGAGTGAGAAAGCGCATTAAAGAGTCACTGTTGAATCAGGTAAAGGAGTTGGGAAACAAGATAAGGGAGAACGGTTCGTGCCAAGAAGAGGGCAAGTTGCGTAGGGTCGAGCTCGCGACGAAAGAGTTAGAGAGTCTGTTCCGGCAAGATAGAGAGTTAATCTAGGTGTGGAGATCGGACTTTCTGGAGAGGGTAAAGGTGAGAAACCTATCACACGAAGGAGCTAAGGAAAAGTCTGCAGAGGACGTTACAACAGAGGACAAGGTAACGCAGGAGGATAGCAGCAGGGCATGAGCGGGACTGCACTATACACGACAAACAGGTACTCCTTACATGTGGTAGGGAGACAGGACGAGCCGTTGGTGTTAGTGATCGTAGAGCTCCAGCTCCGGTCCAGGTTGTGCATAGTTGAGGAGACAGAGTGTTTTCGCCGTGCGCTGCGAGAGGCTAGGGGAACAGGACTTTGGATTGGAGTGGAAGGAGGACGAAGGATAAAGTGCGTACTTCGCGTAACACCTTTCGAAGAGCGGCCTCAGATAAGGGCGTGGTACGAGACGTGCAGAGAGGCTGAGAGGTTGAAGATAAGCGAAGCCAGGAAAGCTGGGGAGCTAGAGAGATTTGTAGTAGACGAAGCGATACTCACGGTGTTAGCCGCTCACGACCGATACAGGAGGGAATCGATAAAGACTTTAGAGGTCATAGAGGATAGTGGAGATGAGGGGGATTTTGAGACGTTCTATGAGATATTGGAGTTGTCGGCGATGAGATTACGAGCGGCTATAGCACTGACTTTCCTCAGATGCTAGCAGATGGTCTTGAAGCTGTCTGGGAGTTCGAGGAGGAGAGACAGAGGTTGTAAGCTCTTGGGAAGATAGTGGAGGACAGTGAGGTCAGATGGGCGGCTGTAGATGGCAGTAGGAGGAGAGTTTCCTCCGTTCGCGGGCTACACGATTCAGGACGGACAAGAAGATCTAGTGAGGAGGACGGAGATAGACGCTCGAGGACCCTTGAGGGGTGCCAGTCAGGAGACATTGGTTAGGCTTGGGACTGCTATATGCAGCAGGCATACAGATCCTGTCACGGGTGTAATGCAGATCAGGAGAGGCGCGACCTTGTTGACAAATCCCGAAGGAGAGGTTTACATAGACACAGGGATTCTTGGAAAAGAAGGTGAGCACGAGGTCCGCGACCGGAACGGAGTACTGGTGGCGGTAATCAGGGTAGTCGAGACGAGCGAGAACCGTGAGAAGTAAACAGGTCCAGGCTGCGAGTTTTGTCACAGGTCCGGGCTGCGAGTTCTGTCACAGGTCCGGGCTACTGCAACTATCATAGGCCCGAGTTGTAACGCCTGGCGTGAGTACGCGACGACGACCTCTAGTAGCCTATGGAACCAAACACGATGGGGCCACAACCGACCACGGGTGAAGCAGGAGAGGACTATAGGACATCGCCCAACCGAGCACTTAGGGATCTGAAGGAACGAATTAGGCAGGGAGCGCCGTTGAGATTGGCTGACCTAACCAATGATGGAGAACCCGACGTAATGGGCGAGCCGGTCGTGACAGAGTCGGGGGAGACTTTGAAGACTGGGACCTCGAGCGCTCGACGGGAAGCGACGACATGACGCTCCCCCGAGTATAAAAGAAGGGAAACCAGGGCGGATAGACGCAGAGACGACTGGAGAGAGAGTCCACGAGATTCATATTGAAGGGACAAAGACAGGGATAGAGCACCGTCCCGGCGTGTCTTCGACCCCCAGACGGGGGAGTCACATCCGCTCCCTTACGAGAGCAAGGATCGCTATATTATTACGCACAAGGCCTCTAAGCCTCCTACTTTTAGGGGCTATGGTATCACAGAATATCTGGAGAAGTGGGAGCTTCACGCTAGCCGGAGTCAGTGGTTGAAGGAAGAGATTATAGAAAACTTCCTATTCAATATAGATCCAAGTCTCGACAAGGAAGTTAAGGAAGTCCGACCAAAGGAAGGGAAATAAGGAAAATGGACTACATATAAGAAGAACCTCATTGAGCTTTACAAATTAGAGGATAACAAGTGTTCCATCAAGTTCCTTGAGACTATGACTCAAGATGAAGATGAGAGCGTACGGGCATTTGGGAAGCGTTTCCAGAAGATCTCTGACGTGCTGATGAAGAAGAGGAAGATCTCAGAGGTCGAGTGTTGTACTATCTTCATCGGACACTTGTCCAAAGGCAGACAAAATAGTATACTTAGAGATCTACCGCGCGACAAGCTTGACTTCCCTGAAGTCATAAAGCTCGCGATAAAGGCAGAGGCAGACGACTACAAGGACTTGGTATGAAGGAGAATGAGGAGACATAACTTCTCTCTCTATAAGGAGTATGCCACTGATAGATGTCCTTATTTCAAGGACTATCCCTGGTCGGAAAAAAATGAAGCGGTGGCCGAGGAAGTGAAGGAGATAAGGGACATGGTAAAGGGATTGACAAGACAGGTTACAGAGATTGTGACCACCACAGGAGCCACGACTTACCGGGACAAACCCGGAGGGCCCTATTCACTTCGCTGGGACCGTAGGAACACCGATTCCTGGAGGAGTGTCGAGGATAGAAATTCTCGAACGCTAACTGATTATCGTGCGAGGGAAAGGGAGAGAGACAATGAGCCATGGCGACGTAGGGATGATGAGATAGACCGGGACCGCAAGGCTCGCGAGACGCATGGACGAGCTAGGAGACTGGATGATTACTCTCGTAGCCCTCGTTATGAGGCTGATGGGGATCGAGGTGACTCTCGCGGCCGGTGGGAGACAGATCAGGGTCGGCGAGACGGATACAGGGACGATAGATATGAGAGATCGGACCGAGATGGATACAAGGACGGCAGATATGAGAGATCGGACCGAGATGGATATAGGGACGATAGATATGAGAGGTCGGATCGAGATGGATACAGGGGTGGCAGATATGAGAGAGGAGATTGAGACGGAGACCGGCGGGATGACTCGCGCGGACGGTATGACCGCGGAGGATTCGCAAGGGCACAACGCAACGATTCGCGGGGGTGGTACGACCGAGGAGATCGACGCGATGAGTCACGCAGGCGATACGACCATGGAGACCGTCGAAATGACTCACGGGGACGATATGAGCAAGGAGGATCTGGAGAAGACTTCCACAATGATTCGCGTGGGAGGAATGAGAGAGGGGGATACGGCGCGTCATCCGATCCGTATACAAAGTCCCCTAACCCTAGAGCACCGAGGGGTTCGACCTCCAGGAGCGCAGACGACAGGCCACCCACTCCCAGGAACTCTTGCATCTACTGTAGAGGGGATCATATCAAGAGAGACTGCCCGGATCTCAAACGGGAATAGATGAGGGACTTGTCGTGCTTGATGACCGCAAGTACGTCAAGTGGGCAAATGATCTGGGAAACGTATCGATGTTCCCTTCGATGAAGGAGAATGTTGAAGCAAGGAGAGTAAAGCCGAGTAAAGGAAAGGAGTCGGTTAAGAGCCAGAACATCAAGATAACTTTCGAAGGAGATATGGCAACCACACCCATAAGTGTGGCAGCTACCAAGTCGACAAGGGGGTCTACATCAAGGAAGACCGATACGGATTACTTGATGGCAGAGAAAGACGGACAGCGGATCGATGGAGAGGAGGTTATTCTTTCACTGCGAAAACAGGGAGTGAAGAAGTTCTTGATGAAGAGTTCGCTGGATGAGATTGACACGGTCGAGCCACTGAGACGTGCCCTTCGGCAGCCCATGCAGTGCTCTATTCTGGAATATCTGGCAACATCCAAGCCGGCTCGCGACGAGTTATAAATGATCACGCGGAAGACTCGCATACCTCTATCAGAGGACGTTGAGGTGACCCCTAAGGCGGATGCTCCTACAGTAGCAGTATCAGAGGTGACTGCTTGAGCAGATCGCATGACGACAGTTCTTCTTGATGAGATGGAAGGTGTGCCTCCAGACAAGTTTTACATACTTGGTAGTGGGACCGTGGAGGCGATCCTAAACGACGAAGCGGTATTAGATGCTGTGATCGATAACGGCAGTGAGACTGTCATTATAGACGAGGATCTGGCAGAGCAAGTTGGACTGGTACTCGATAGGTCATACTTATTCGAGATAGAAACGGCTGATGGGAGAAAGCAACAGATCACAGGAGTTTGTCACAAGGCAGCCATAGAAGTCCAAGGGGTACGAGTGACTCTGCCACTCTTTGCAGTCACCGCATGCACGTGGCTCAACCACGTCCGTCCGAAGAGCAGGTCAGAGCTGCAGTTCTTGAAACGGCTGATGGGAGAAAGCAACAGATCACAGGAGTTTGTCACAAGGCAGCCGTAGAAGTCCAAGGGGTACGAGTGACTCTGCCAGTCTTTGCAGTCAAGAACTGCAGCTCTGACCTGCTCTTCGGACGGACGTGGTTGAGCCACGTGCATGCGGTGACGATAGAGCGACCGGACGGGAGCCAGACACTGTCCATTAAGAAGCTAGATGAGACGCGGGTTATGATAGAGACGGTGGAGCCTCGAGACCCGAAGAACAGAGCAGCTCTCGCTGTAGGAGCGGGACTCAGTGATCGGATTAAGTCATTACCTATCTCCGGCCGCGCGAAGCGATTTCGCGAGAAGAAGTATGGATCTTTGCTCACAGAACAAGAAGGCAGGATTGTAGAAGTGGAGGATTTAGGGAGTCGGCTGATAGTGGACGGCAACTCGAATCCAAAGGAGGCAGATGAGGAATTTGGCGGCGTGGTATCTGTGTCTTTTTTAAGGGCACGGCCCACTATGGGGGGTTACCCAAGCGACACAAGCGAGTAGCTCAGAAGGTTAAGCCAGCGGCGGTGGGCCGCGAGCGATCTGCACTGGAAGGAATATCGGAAGAAGAGATCACAAAGGAAATTAAAGAAAGAAAGAAAAATGAGCCGCAACGTCTAACGGAAGAGAGGATAGCAGGGATGGACATTGGAGATGGGAACCTTACCCCACAGGAGCGGGAACGTGTGATAGAAATCCTAAAGACGTGCAATAAGGCTATAGCTTTCAGCGACACGGAGCGCTAAGCCAGCAAGGATTTATACGATTCCACATGTCCCATGGAATGACGCAGGATGGAAATACGCCCAGAAGGAGAAGGAAAAGGTTATCGCTTTCCTGAAAGAAAAGATGGCTTCTCATGTTGCAGAGCCATTTGACAGCGCTCATGCTAATCAATGGTTCTTCCTACGAAAGTCAAATGGCAAGATCAGGTGGATCCAGGACCTTCAGAAGGTCAACGCGGTAACGATTCGAGACGTAGGCTCTGTGCCTCGCGCCGACTTACTGGCTGAAGGCACCGCGGGCAGGTCGATTTATTCGGTCTGCGATCTGTTCTCAGGCTATGATGAGGTACCGCTTGATCCCAGGGACAAGCACCTCACGGCTATGCACACGTCATTGAGACTAATACAAATGATGGTCGTCCCTATGGGTTGGACCAATGGGGTGGCCGTATTTCAGAGAGTCATGGTAGTCGTCCTCAAGGACTTTATTCCTGACAAGGTAGAAGTTTTTCTGGATGACCTTCTTATAAAAGAACCAATAAAAAAAGATGAGATAGAGGTCGTGCTAGGAGTTAGAAGATTCGTTGAACAACACCTAACCGATATTTGTGCGATACTTGAGCAGCTGGACGACGCAAATTTGACGGTCAGCGGAACGAAGAGTCGGTGGGTCGTCTCGACTATTAAGATCTTAGGCTTTATCTGCGACTCGAGAGGACGCCGAGCGGATCCTGCAAAGCTAAACAAACTCCTAAATTGGTCGTCGTCGTTGCATAGCGCTACCGAGGTCCGTCAATTTCTGGGAGTGGTCGGTTACTGGCGGATTTTCATACGCAGGTATGCGGAGAAGGCTGAACCATTGAGGGTACTCCTTCGGAAGACTGAGAAATTCTACTGGGATTTCTCTCAGGAACTCGTTATGCAAGAACTTAAAGACGAATTTAAGGAGGGAGGACGTGTACTGGGCGTGCCGTTCTTTGATGATGAGGTCGGGAGGCCCTTCATAGTATCCACGGATGCTGGACCTTGTTCAGTTGGAGGGCTGCTGTCTCAGAAGGACGCTGAAGGGACGGAAAAACCGTTAAGATTTGAGAGTAGGACACTTAATACGGCTGAGCGTAACTACAGTCAATTCAAGAAGGAAGTGTTAGCTGTTATGTGGTGTCTAGACACGTTCAGACACTATATCTACGGACGACGGTTCATCTTAAGAGTAGATCCCACAGCGATCGCCTCTGTCCTCCAAAAGGACTTTAGTCTGAGGGACCCGACCATCGCACGATGGTTAATACGGATTCGGCTATATGATTACACGGTTGAGAGAATATCTGGCGCTTAAAATGTCATCGAGGATGGGCTTTCTCGGATCCCTCTTGAGGCCGAGCGCCCGATAGTAGCTGGAGCCCTGACAATAGCGGAGCCGAGACGCGCCGATCGATTTCTGGTTAACCTTTACGAGGGCAAATACTGAACGATCGGGCTATATTTGTCAGGAGAGGAGAGTCAAGATTCAGATATCTGGAAACAAGCGGTCCATTATTGCCTTAGAGCGGGCCATCTATTCCGAAGACCAGTCGGGTCGGGGATGCCTTTACGAGTAGTTTGTGATCCTGAAGAGATACAAACGATAGTTGCGGAGCTTCACGGTAGGGTAGTCGGAGGACATAGAGGAGTCAAAGGAACCTATGAAAAGGTACGCAGGTTGTACTGGTGGGAAGGACAGTATAAGGACGTCGAAAGATACTGTATAACCTGTGAGGAGTGTCAGAAGAGAGCTCTTGTGAAATACAAAGAGCCACTTCATCCATCCTATCCGACCAGGCCAGGAGAGAAGGTACACATCGATCTGGTGAAGATGYYGAAAGRAGTAGGCAATATGAACTATGTKRTGAACATACGAGATGACTTCACTGGATTCGTGGATGGTAGACCTATCAGGAGTAAGTCGGCTAGGGAAGTGAAGAACTTCGTCCTAGAGTACTTATCTAGGTATGGATGTGTCAGCAAGATAGTGATGGATAGAGGGGCGAAATTTCTAGCTGACGAGGTTCAGAGTGTGTTCAAGAGAGCCGGGGCGAGAGTTTCGATAGCCACCGCCTACCACCCACAGACGAACTCTCCAGTAGAGAGGGGACACTAGACTCTGATAGCGTCACTATCCAAGTGGTGCAAAGGTAAGGACAGCGATTGGCCACGATATTTTCGATACGCAATATGGGCGGACAACGTCACGGTCCGGGTTAACACTGGATACCCACCGTACACCTTGTGGTTCGGACGACATTGTCCTCTCCCTATAGAGTTTCACTTCGACAGCTGGACAACCGTCGACTGGGGGGAGAGGATGTCCAGAGAGGAACTCATAGCTGCTCGGACCAGACAGATAGCCTACGGTTTGGAAGACAACCTTATGACAGCGGCAGATCGTCTGGCAATGGAGAGGGACAAAGGCAAAGAGGGATGGGATAAGGGCGTGCGGATCAGGAAAGAGAGAGTGAGCGTAGGAGATTTGATCATTCTCTACGACGCAACACTCGAAACGACCTGGACCGGAAAACTCGCCAACAGATGGATGGGACCTTACAGAGTGGTTGAGGCGCTCGACTGGGAATTGCAGAATTAGACGGATCTAAGTGGAGGAACCCAGTGGCGGGTGCTAGGTTAGAGTTGTTTAGACCCAGGCCTGCGCCCACCTTATCGCTGACAGGCCCGAAAGACAAAGGGAAGGCCGAAATGGAGGATGGAGCCCCCTCGAGACGATTAGAGGCAGGGGAAAGTTCCAAGAAGAGGAAAAGAGTGGATAAAAGAAAGGTCAAAGGGTTAGCATTAAGAAGAGAGAGGAAATGGTTATTTGTGCTCAAGAGGGCCATACGGAGAGTTCGCATTACACAAACTGGCGGGTCGGCACCTTTCTCGGACCAACGTCAGAAGGAAAAGAGGGTCCTACCAAGGCCAAAATCCCGAAGGAAAAGGAAAGTCAAGAAACATATTTTTAGCCCCAGAACTCATAACAAACTGAAACATAAGACAATTAAACGCCGGCGTGGGCACCCTTTATGTGCAATCACCCTGAAGCTCGTCCGCTTCGTTTGACGTAAGTGGTTAGGGCTCGACGGGGGCGTCGAGAAGAGGTTCAGGCTAACTGTCAGGCGACCACAAGGGATGGGCCGCCTGGAATCCACGGCTTTGGGACTAAGGCACAAAAACAAGTCCGTGTTTTAACGGTACTCTGATTTGACCAGGCAACAAAAATTGGGGGAACTCAGGGCACCCCTGATTTTGGGCGCACTGAACCTTACGAGTAACCCTCAAAGATGGCGAAATGGGTAGCTGCTCCCGGCATATCTAGGGGCCGTCATTACAGCCCGTTCCGAGGCTGGGCCTCGAATGGCCGGCCTCAAGGGGGCATCGTGGGGACTAACCCCGCCGCAACATTTTTGCAGCATACGACCGGTGCCGAAATGAGGTCTCGAATTTTTGTCTATTTTAGTACCATAATTAAAGATGGGGAAAAGGGATTAAGACCAGTACGGGAGAAGAGAAAAACATAATATCCCTCAATTTCTTTATTTTTCACGACATTTAATTCTATGGGGAATACCCTTGTTATTTTATGTTCCCGACAATAAAATCAAAAACATAGAAAAAGGATTAAAAATTGAAAAAGAGAAAAAAACAAAAGAAATTCGACCATTTATTTAAACTTTCTCGAAATTTAATTTTGGGGAATTTGCGGTTAATTTACTATTTCCGACAATAGAATTAAGGAAAAGAAAGAATGATTAAAAACGATGAGAGGGACGGAAACGCATGATTATTGGGAGATTGGCCTAATTTCGCCTCGATTGCCCGCCATCAGCTCTGACCCCGGATTCATCATTTTCTCTGGATTCTAACAGTTTTCACTACTGCCGATAGTCGAGATTCCCTGCGTCGCTTTCCCTGGTTTGCTTGATTACTGACATTATCGCACTTGGGATGTTCTGAGAGCGGGAGTCGCATAGACAGCATGGGGTGGTGCTACCTTGGGTCGACAGTATGGTAATTGGCCCGGTACGGATACATGGTTCAGAGAGGTTCGGTATTGTTATGGAGTGGCTGCGCCCTACGGTATCCGACGTGCACGTGGTTCGGTATGGGGTCGGCGTCAGTTTGTTTCAGGGTTGAGGCCATTACGGTGACTTATTTTCAGGTCTGCGGCCACTGTAGTGATTTATTTTCAGGTCCGGGACCGCTACGGCAATTGTTTCGGGTTCGACATCAGTTTATTTCGGGCTCGGTGCTACCGTGATATCTTGTTTCGGCTTCGGCGCCATTACCGTGACTTATTTTCAGGTTTGGGATACTGCGACAATTTATTACCTGGTCCACGGCCACTGCAGTAGTTTATGTCAGGCTCGGAATTGTCACGCCGATTTGTTTTCAGAGTCGACACCCTCACGGTGGAATGTGTCAGGTGCGGCAGCCTACGACGCCGATAAGGGGCCACAATACCGTAGCTCCAAAAGTTGGGGCTGATACGGCGATGCTGATCTAGTACCACTGGCTGTCGAGCTCATTCGAGTTCCGAGCTGGAGCCTTGGCACTGTGGCCGTCAGATTTCACGATACCGGTACCCTTGGGGTTTTTGAGGTACTGTCGGGCTCGTATGATTTTGGCCATGCGCCCGTAACTTCGGGGAGGCCCATGCCTGCAGGGGCAGTGGCATATAGGAGGAACCTGGACGACAGTTGGGGAGGAAAATCGGTGCGAGCAAGGTGTACCCGCGCATGCAAACACGGGGCGAACACGTGGGCACTCAGGCGGTTACTCCGCGCGAGAGGGGAGTGACAAGAGGGAGGAAAGCACGCACGGTGTGCACAGCCAGCATTGCCCACGCTGGTTGAAGTCAACAGACACGGGCAGTTGCAGGGAGAGGAAACGGACGGGGAGAGAAGAACGAAACGGGCGAGGTGTACCCAGCCCGCATTATTGCCCGATTCGGGGAGAAGTATTGGAGCGCCAGGTGTGCGCCGGAGAGACACAGTTGACTTGAAGAGGTGAATCGGGGAGTGAAAGAAGGAACGGAGCGCCAGGTGTACTTTGCGGATCAGCTCAGTGGACGCAGCGAACTCGGGGCGCGCGCTCACACTCTCCCATACTCAGTTGGAGGCACAAACGGGATGAGCTATGTGATGGAAGGCGAGCCGAGATGAGCTATTCGGAGAATGGGGAACGTACGAGCCATACACCCCACTCGTTTTGTTAGATGAGACTGCCTTGCCAGGTCGGGGCTACTTGATTCAGGAAGAAACGCGAATGTGTACATTCGACTGAGAGAGAGGGATGGCAGTTGGAGAGCCTATGCGTCTGCTGGAGAGGGCGCTATTACTGTAAGAAACGAGAGATTATCATTGTCACGACTTATCGAGGGCAACTGCTGTTGAGGCCATCGTCAAGTGCGTCAGATAACTTCATCGCCACAACTTCGAAGAGTTCACTGATGCTGTGGAAAAGACCAGCTACTACCGCCTAGGTTGAGAATCGTCATTGATACGGGTAGGTGAGCAACCACTGTTGCTGAGCGACGGTGAACAGGTACATTGAGATCGATCTGCGATAAGTAACAAAGTTGACCGTAACTTCCGTCCAATTAGAGCTGAGACACCGCTGAACGCCCCAACTGGGCCGCCGGTTGAACACTAGAACACTGAGTATTGAACCGCTAACTGGCTTTAGGCTCGCTGAAGTGCAGGGAATAACTCGAGAATAGAGTCACTGATTAGTTGCCCTATCATTGATCATTAAGTCCACTGGTCGTTTGATTGCTGGCCGAGCATAGCCCCAGTGGAGCAGAGATTGTGCCCTGGGGATACATGAGTTGAGTCAAGGAGGAGAAATTTACTAATAGAGAGGCCACGCTGAGCAGCCACGTACTCGATCATAAGACGGAGTGGGCCAGCGGAAGACAGTCGGATATCCAGGAGAGGAAGTGAAAGAGACGGAGAGGGAGAGCGAGGGAGAGAAAGAGCATGGTTCAGGGAGAAGCGAGAAAGGAGGGTGTGGGCGGGGCGATCGCACTGCTTAGGAGGGATCGTGCCCTGGACAAAGGTGATTGAGAACACTAGTAGAGGAAAATAAGGAATGTAAAACTCAGTGTTTTCTCTCCCGTCTGTTTCATTTTTATTTATTTGTTTATTTTCTTCTCGATTTCTTTATTTACCTTATTAGTCATGTGTTCGCGCTGACAAGACATGGATCTTCAAAACAGTCTGTTGAAGAGAAAACTACGCCCTTGGGACAAGGGCTCAATGCGAGTCAACGAAAAGTAATTACAGCAGAAGTAAGCGTCCTTGTGATTTGAAGAAACGGGTGCTGGGCTCATCAGTCGGCAAGCTGGACGCTCCATACTGAGTCATAGATTTACCTTTCGAATC